CCTGGGAATGGTCTGACTTGATGGACGTATTGGGGGTAGGTCTTATATTTTAGCAATTCCCAAAAATAGTACTAGGTCTTATTTTCGGGGTAGGTCTTATTTTCGGGGTAGGTCTTATTTTCAGGGAAACAGGGTAACTGGAGACTGGCCTGTGCTCCATTTGGCTGTTTTTATATTAATTTTAAATTATTTTACTTGGATCTTCTCCTTTCTAATTCTCTTAAAATATTATGTGTCTCTTCTACCTGCTAAGCGTAAAACTTGCACGAAAAGGAAAACCATCAAAGAAAAAAAAACACATTACATTGGGTGAACAATTGAAAATCCGAAATGTTTGCATAGCTTCGCGAGATCGAAAAAAAAATAAGTACTTTTATTGGCATTTCCCACATGATGGTAATAAAAATACACAGCGCTAAATTAAATAAATTAACCATGTGATTTCCTACATCATAAATGTATGGTTGTACTTGATGGACTTATGTCTTTATTCAACCTCAAATACTATGTAACTGTGTAATAAAAAAAAATACACAGCGCTAAATTAAATATATTAACCATGTGATTTCCTACATCAGAAAACAATTAATACACAGCGCTAAATTAAATATATTAACCATGTGATTTCCTACATCAGAAAACAATAAATACACAGCGCTAAATAAATATATTAACCATGTGATTTCCTACATCACACTTGATAGAATCAGCTTGACGTAAAAAGCGTAAATCTGTTTACCAAGATGAATACATACTAGATATGTTTTTGATAATGTAATCAAAGCTTACTTGAAAAAAATCCCTTTTATGTAGTGAGTGCTGCCTTCATCTGCCCATCACTTTCATCAACTTCCTGGATTCCCAGTGTGCTTTGTGTCTCTTTCCCTGCTGCTTGGTGTGATGTAATCTGGATTTCTCAAGACTACATATCCCATCATGCATTGCTTCCAGCAAGCAATGATAACGTGACCTTGTTCAGATGTTGAGTAGTAGATCAGAAGGCAGAGCTGTGACCCAAGGAAATGCATACTCACAGGGCTGTAAAAACGTACCATGCGTTTGTGGTGCCATTACTTGTTCATGGTACCTCAAACGGGCATTGCAAAACTGCACACTGTCGCACGTTAAGCATGCACAGACGCGTGGTCAAGAAAGGTAGTATGCTTGCTGTATGGGCTACCTTGCTGCATTTGATATGCATGCTGCGCCCTTTGAAAATCAATGGGCGAAACGCAGGAGACGCAGCAAAGAATGTGTGTGAATGCAACATGCATTCATGGAACACCAAGGTGTGAACAGGGCCTTAAGCCTCATTCAGACCATGAATGCGCTGGAAAAATGGCTGCTGAAGTGCGTTGGAAAAAACAATGCTGATGCACCAATCACAATCACAGTGCAAGGCACTATTTTTTTTTTTTTTTTGCTAGAACTTTATTCAAATGTTACAAGTGACATTTTATTGAGTTCTATTGACCGCATTGGCGTTGCTTTGCGGTGGTTTAGATTGCAACATGCTGCACTAATAAAAACTGCAAGCCGTCCTTTTTTTTCAGCACAGACCACCACAATGCTTTATTGTGAACCAACCTCATTGCAAACAAGGCTTCTTCTTTTTTTTTTCTTGTCTATGCGTCGGCACTGCGCTGGGCAAGGCCGCCATCCCAGCCCCCAACACATCTGGTAACCTTTCCATATTTCCCCAATGACTTTATCAAGCGCTGCCAGGAACCCCACACTGAAGAAGGCCTAAAAGGATGATTGTGAAGGTCAGTCAGTAAAGAAGACCCTTTGTGATGTGCATTGTGAAGTAACCCCTAGCAACCAAACAGGAAGCATCTTCTAACGGCCTTAGTCTGATTGGTCGCTATGGTTTGCTAAACACGGCACATCGTTATTGCGCCATACATCATCGTAATGAATGCGTCTATAAATGTTAAAGATTTTGCAATAAAATGGAACGGTTCTGCAGCGGTGAATACTTTCCCCCTGTCTATCCATGTACTTGCATCACCATGGCAACCATCAGCTGATCAAGTGAAGTAACAGATGCCGATCCGGACAGTTACAGAGTCAGACGAAGGGATGGACACCGGATCCTTCCAGCCTGCACTACAAAGGCAGCAAAGACGTGCGCAGTAATAGTAACGCTGTCAACCAGGTTTGTTTACTATAGTCATACCATGATAAAAAGGGAAATTCTGATTGGTTGTTGTGGGTCACTGCACTTTACACACTTCTTCATGTCAAGCCTAATGAACACTGATTGGAAATTTTAGCAAAGGCCTAGCATTATGTGGATGCACCCCTAGCATGTCATAATTGTCCAAAAGCAAAATTTGGCTGCTTTTTCTAGCAGTCATGTGACCGCTCTCTTCCCAATTCTTCCTTTCGTGAACTAGGTCAGGGAACGTCATGTCCAGTGATGTTTTACCAGTGTACCAGACTTCAATCATCAGCAGGGACGTCCCAAAACTATTTGGGACCCTGTGGCAGTGGGAGGGTAGTGGGGGAATCATGTCGAGCTCCTGGCAACCAGTGACATCACTGGTTGCCAGTAGCATAATGGGAAGCTCTTGCTGGCGTCCTGCAAAGCTCTTGGCGACCAGTGATGTCACTGGCTGCCAGGAGTTTGGTGGGATGCTGGCAAGAGTATCCCAGGTTGCTAAGATGCCTGGCTTCTAGCAACCTGGGATGATGCAAACATTGTGCCTTGCCACTCTGCCTGCTGCTTACCCAGGGGATGCCAGCTATAGGGACGGCTCTGATCCCCAGCAACCCTCCAGGCATTTGCCACTGCTGTATATGGAGCATTGTGGCTTATTGATGCCACTGTTCACTTTCTCTCTCTCGCCAGCAGCAGTGCAAAGAAGAGACGGGGAAGGACTGGCTTTGAAACTGCAATGGTTAGGGTGAGCAGACTTTTTCTTCCATGGTTACAATGCTGATCCTCTGGGGAAAGAGGTTGTGTCTGACTTACAGGTATAGCCCTGCAGTCATGGCAAAGGAGAAAGGGTGACAATGCCAGGGATAATTCTAACTATCTTACAGCATTGTCACTTATATGTATGAGAATAGCCCATACCCAATTTTATTGGCAGGATCAACAGATATGACTATAAAGAGCTAAAAGATGCCACTATGCCCCTAACAGTAAAGTGGAAAAAATAAAACATTTCTGGATGGTCGGGAGTTTTGGTGAGACATGCCGAAAAAATGTCTCTTATGCCAAAAAAATTCTCTCGGTGCATTGTACACACTCTAAGATGTTGTGAATGGGCCAAGTGTCGGGGAGAATGTAACTCCTGTGTGCATGCGCAGGAGTTACATAGTCAGTGGCACCCAATGGTCAAAGAGGACCTCTGAGAACCCAGAAGTATCAGCAGCAGAAGGGGGACAGAGCTAAGCGCCAAATATTGATCTAGAAAACGGCACACATGTATGGTAAGTGTGCCCTAATGTGCAAGTATGCCGTGCATACCTGCACATTAGGGCAAGGATAAAACATTTACAGAGTGCTTTATTCCCGTTTTAACAGCGCAGTGTTCACTGTTGCATAGTCACAGTGTTTATATTGATTGATGCATTAATGAATCAACCCATTTGCATTTGCTGAAGGAAACCCATGGCTAATATCCACAGGATCTGCACATGTGTTTCACATGTGCAGTAGCCCTTTGAACCAGCACCATACCCCTGTGAAAGCAGCTGAAAAGGAGCTTGGAGCTGCTGGTAAGTATTAGACAACCATACATATTATACAGTATTAGGTGACAGGTTAGGCAGGGTGGCCATTGGGACGTACCATTGTGATGTACGCCCGGCCCGAACCAGATATTAAAGGGGAACTCTTCTGGGATGTTATGAACGTTTTGAGGTTACAGGAGTCCCTTTCCTTGATGTTACAAATGAGCCTCTTCGATCTGCCTGTGCAGCATATTTTTTACAGCCCCCTAGGAGCCGGCCCCTAAGCCAGGGCTGGTTGGGTTTGGGAAGCGGGAGGGCTAAGCCTTTACAATGTCCTATGCTCCTCCAAAACTGTTATATTCATAAATAAGAGGATAATTGAATATTCATATCCAATACTGTCCGACAACCCCTAAATTATAATGCATAATGAAAGTAGCTTTAGATTGGGACCAGATTGAGGCGGTGATATCAAAGATGGTTAGGCCAGGAGGGCCAATGTCACGTGTTAGGCCCTGGAGCATCATAATGGTCCCACTCTTGGTATGTATGTTCTCGTCTTGACGAGACCCGGGTATTTGTGCCATTCATTTTACAATATCCCTCTCCAATTCCAAGTTATGAAATTGAGTTGATATTGTAACTCAGTTTTATAACTTGAGTGCGACTCGGAGGTCATTATCCTTACCAGGCCGTCTGGCCGTCTGCTTACTTATTAGGGGAGTAGCCAAGCTCAGCAAAACCTTTACCATGCTTTAGCGATTTACGACACTGCTCATAAAGGAGTCATTTAAGCTGATCCACACCCGTTCCAGGGAAAACTAGATAAACCATTAGGTTTTAGTGTTTCTCCTAGGAGCTGTAAAGATTACAGGCCCAGATTAACAGATCTCTGATTTTTTGAATTTGAAGAGACCTGGCAAATGGAGAGCAGGCTAAGTTAACCTACAGCTGAATGAAAGGCTGCATTTGTTTTAAAGGAGAACTATGGGGTTAAGGCTTTTCCCCATAGTTCTCCTTAGGGTAACGGGAGGACACAAACTAGCATCCTCCCGTCACCCTAGTCTCAGTCTACCGCAAGCTGTAGCTCGCGGTATACTGAAACGCCGTATACCGCGAGGCCGCTGCTCGCGGTATACTGAGAAGCCGCAGCTGAAGCGGATCCCGACAATTATGTCTGGATCCGCCCAGCTGCGTGACTGACAGCTGGCTCTGCCTATCTAGAGTCAGAGCCAGCTGTACACGCCCCCTCCCCCATCCGTTCTGATAGCTCTATCTGTCCCCAAAAAATGGTATAAAATTCATTTCAGTACAGCGTTGCATGACGGAATAAACGTCAGCCAAAGTACCGCAGCGCTGAACACTGAAAAATGGCCTGGCCAGGAAGGGGGTGAAACACCGCGGCCTTCAAGTGGTTAATATTAATAGACTCAAACCTCATTATTGTCACAGCCATAAGTTACATTTACAACAGTCTTTAGGCCGGCCAATATTGTAGCTACATTACAGCAGCCCCTGGCTGTTATAGAGCAGCAGCTCAGGTAAACTAACAAGATGTGATATTTGTGTATGCCAGAAGCTTGCAGAAGTCAAGGTTAGGATTGGAAGTCCAGGTATTTTCCTAAATGGAGGTCATTATACTGAAATTTGTAAATCCCTTTCAAGAAACTTCAGTCATAACATTCTTACCAGTCTCTGCAATGATATTTCGAATGTCTTGTAACCATCTAACTCATCTCTCTCAGTGCAGGACTTGGAAGGTATTGGCCCTAGACAGGGTCGGTTGCTGCACACAGAGTTTAAACCAAATCTCAGTTGGGAACGTGAGATCTTCCATGGCTGCTCTTCAGTCAAAAGATGACAACTATAATTTTATGAAAGTCATGGGTAAAGGCACCTTCGGGGAAGTTAGAAAAGCATGGAGGAGGAGCACTGGTGAACTTGTGGCCATCAAAACAATAGGAAAGAACTATAACAAAAGCTACATAATCAAAAACGAGCTCAAGTTGCTGGAGGCTCTCAAGAAGCTGGATCCAGAAGAATCTCACATTGTACACTTCATTGAGTATTTCCAAGATCAGGTAAATTACTACCTGGTGTTTGAGCTGCTGCATGAAAACCTGCTACAGTACCAAAAGAAGATTAATTTTTCTCCAATTCCTGTAAGACACATAAGAACAATTACCTTGCAGATTTTGGAAGCCCTTATGAAGTTAAAAGAAATCTGTGTTATCCATGCAGACCTCAAGCCTGAAAACATAATGCTGGTTGACCATAACAGGTACCCATTTAAGATAAAAGTAGTTGATTTCGGCTCTGCTGGTATTTTGAATGAGGTGACACATGTGAAAGAACCATATATCCAATCCCGTTTCTACCGAGCTCCTGAGATCCTGCTTGGATTGCCTTTCGATGAAAAGGTGGACATGTGGTCTCTTGGTTGTGTGCTGGCTGAACTTCATCTTGGGTACCCACTTTATCCTGGAATCAATGAGTATGACCAAATAAGATATATCTGTGATATGCAAGGGTTACCCCAAAATTATTTGCTTGATGCGGGTTCTAAATCCCCGAGATTCTTTGAACGTCAGACTAATTGCAATGGAGAAACCCATTGGAGAATGAAAACTATGAAAGAATATCAGTTAAAAACAACTGTGGTATCAACAGGAAGGCAGGCCGTTTTGTTGAAATCACTGGACCAAATAGGGACTGTGAACATTTCCAAGTCTAGTTTCCCAGATCTAGAGACCCTTGCTGAATATTATGACCTGAAAACCATGGTGGAGCTCATCAAGAAAATGCTAGTTTGGGATTCCCACAAGAGGATAACATCTATTGCAGCTACGAAACATCATTTCATTTCCCTTCAGCATCTAAACATAATCTACAGAAATACAAGGTATTACCAGCTGTCACGGCAGTGTCCATACGAGACCACGAAGAACACCCAACAATATGATTACAATTTTCCATCTGCAGGTCGCCACTATCTATTCTGTCCTAATAATAGCAAGGTGCAAGATGTACAACATGTGCACGTCACTGAGGAAGTCCAAAAAGCCAATAAAAACATGAATGGTTTACATGCTCAGGCCAACCGCCCTCACTGGGAACAGGAAAAGGAACAATTAGCAAGTCATTCTAATAATAGACACCCAAAATGTCCAAAAGCAGATGAGTTGCTTTCCATTCAAATGCATGTTGAAATACAAATCCCAGAGGATTATACGGAAGGGAATACTGTGGAGTCCTGGTTTGATTGCACATCTAATTTTCCAGCACAGAATTCCATACAAGAGGACAATATTGACTACAAGAGACAAAACACATCTTCTCAGAGGTAAGGGTTAAAACATTTAGAATTATTGAAAAATGTATTCCATTACTTCCTCCTACTCTCAATCCATAGATCTATGCTCCTAAAAAAATATTTTATAATACCCTGAACAGACTAAAAAAAGGGAACTTTGTAATTGTATCAGATGACCCCGGTATTTTAGACAAAACTACCACCACCACCACCACCACTGTCCCTATCATAAAATGAATTTTTACTGATTTTATTAACGTGAGGCCTACTGCAACAGATGTTTGAAAGTGTCTTGCAACCTATAAATTAGGTTACAAAACATACCGGTACATGTATGAAGTTTTACAACAACATCATCTGCTAAAGCGTGCCATGGTGGAACCACCACTGTCAGAACATAAGAGGTGAGGAGCAACTTTTTATATATGTACATATACCATTGTTCTACAGCTCTGCCTCTTCTCACCATGCCCTACTTCTTCTTTACCAGCATCAGACATCTCAACTCTCCCGGATATTCCGGGATTCTCCCGCTATAAAATAGCAGCTCCTGGACACCCGGGAGAGAAACATTTTCTCTCAGAAAAGGTTTACTCTGCTTTATCTAGCAGAGTAAACCTTTCCCTGCAATGTGTGTTTTTTTCCCCTTGACAACGGGGTCGCCGACTAGCCATTGCACCCGCCCACTGCTGCCGTCAATCAGGTCTCCATCAGGTCCTCCTCTGCTGATTGACAGCAACAGAGGGCGGGTGCAATAGCCAGCTTGCTATTGGCTATTGCAAACTGAAATAGCCAATAGCAATCTAGCTATTTATTCCAATGCCGTTTTTTTTTTATTCTGACGGCAGCAGCTGTCAGAATACTAAAAAAAACAGAAGATAGCAAGGGAAGCATTAGCGTCTTTTCTATCTGCCATCATTTCAGGGGGGTGATCTCTTCCTTGTTGCACCCCCCCCACCCCCTGCAGATGGGGGAAGGGGGGTGGGGCAAAGAGAGCACCTTCCTGAAATGAGAAGGGCACCTCCCTGAAATGACTGCAGCATGCATTCATACTTTTCCACTGCCAGTCTCTGTAGACTAGTAAATCCAGTATACCATTCTGAGATGCAGACTAGAGCAATCCCTGCCCATAAGTGACAAGAGCATTGTATAATTTTGGATTATAACATTTTAAACTATTTTATTTAGTTTTATGGAAGTTCAGAAATAATTTATAACCAGTATGGCTTTCTGGTAAGGATCTTGTGATTTACACACATCTTTCAAACTGCAGCCCTTTAAATTAAACTAGTCCTTCTTTACTCACAGGAAGTACAGACTCCCGAATACAGGATGGAATCCCCTGTCGTCAAGGAAAAGACCGATATGCTCAAGCAGGGAAACCGCTGTGCCAAAGCCGATATTGGTCACACCAAAGCCTAAAAAAGCAATACCTCCAAATTATCAATCACTACATCAGTCAGATAGCATAACAGTCATTGGCCATGTCTGAAGCCCCTGCTTCTTATAACCTCATCTTAGAAAGACAAATAGAAAAAATAAAAATCTACAAATAAAAAAATGTCCTTGTTATTTTATTAACCAAATTTCCTGATAGGGGACTTAAAATATAACTGAAGCCAAATGTTCTTTTTTTAAATCTTTCGATAGAGCTGTCTATGTTCCCTCTAAAGAGATTCACCCTCTCTTTGTTATGGTGCAGGGGTGTGGAATTCGTAAGTAGTTTTTTCACTGTTTTAGCCCTGCTATGGACAAGTAGCAAAGCTGGTTTGACGAGCGGCGAGAGCGGCGCTGCGAGCGGGGGGCGTGGACCGGCGAGTATTATTTTCTAATGGCACCCCAGTCTTGCCAGGCAGATTGCGCGTTTTCCTGCTGCAATACCGCCCGGGCGATCCCACACGATCACGGTTGAAAACACTGTGCGGTGCATGTCGTGAAAATAGGTACATGTACCTTTTTTTCAGCGATTGCCACCCAGATGTAATCCCTTACATGCGGAGGCTACCGCACACGATCGCACGTCCCGGGAATCCGCAGGTCTGCACCCTAAAGGGTAAATTCACTTTCCCAAGTAATTTGGGGCAATGGAATTACCCGCACAAATCTCCCTCCCACTATACTTACCTTTCGGCGAACGGTCCTTCCCCCTCCACCAGTACGGGTGTACTATCTGTACCTGTTCCATGTATTCTGAATTTCGCTCGCAAATTGGAAGCACTCGTTGGTCAACGCGGTCACCTGACGGCACTGACCAATGAGAAGCGCTTCTTAGCACTGCTAAACACGGTTTTGGTTAAAATAATTTTTTTTGTATTGGGACAAGTAGATTGTCATGAAGGACGAGTAGATTCGGCCCCCGCTTTAGTCCTTGGACAAGTAGTTTTTTCCAAAATTTCCACACCCCTGTGGTGGCTGTTCATATGAGATCGAATGTGATGCGGGGGGGCGGGCTTGGAACAGGGGGAGTGTATTTTTTTTATAAGTGGTTGGGGGGTATTATATTGTGTGCGGGGGGGCTTGGAATGGGGTGTATCATTTTATGTGCCGGGGAGAATTTGGGACAGGAGGGTATTATTCTATGTGTGCGCCCCATTCACACCTATATTTCGGGTGCAATTAGGGGATCCTGCATCAGGAACTAGCATTTTCCTGCAGCAGGGATCCCTAATCTGCCATTTACAAGCGGCAACTGTAACCAATTCTAGTTAATGATCAGGTGATAGCCGCTGCATGTAAACGCCTGCACACCACATGTAATGCAATGTAATATGATTACATCCAGTTAGAAAACAATCACTCTCCCTGGACGTATTGATAGTGCATCCAGGGATAGTGATTGTTTCTCAATTGCATGTAATCATATCACATATCATTACATGTGGTGTGCAGGCGTTTACATGCAACTGCTGTCACCTGAACTTGAATGGGTGACGGTTGCCGCTTGAAAACACTTGTAACATGCGCAGGCACTAACACCTGTACCGTATATAGTTAATTTTTATTTTGACATTTGTCAAGAAGCCCCCACGGGACTAAAAAATGTGTCCAGTGGCCCCCGAGTAAATTGAGTCTGAGACCCCTGCTCTACTTGATCTAAAAATTGTAGCTTCAAGGGCAGTTCCACTTTTGCGGCCCTATAGGGATAACACCTATCTTATATTTGTTGCATAGTCCCATTTACATAGCATGACTTAAAACAATTTTAAAAATTACTGCTTACATTTTTACTGGCTCTTTTCTGAAAACTGAATAATACTGATTAGCTTTCCCCTTCTATGTAATGTCAAGGTGGGGACTGGGAAGTTAGGTTTACCATTATTAACCCTGCCTGTATTGTGCTGCAAGATCTTCATCATCAGTTGCAAACTAGATTTGCACTCCGTCTGTCCTAACTCAAAGCTTGAGTGGTACATTGTATGGTAATGCATTCAACAACAAAAGGTCACTAAATCTGTCCCCTTATTGCACATTGCAGTCTATTCTGAACGCTACAAGCTACCTATAGAGTCCTATGTATAAACCTGCACCAAAGAAATTAATAGAAAGAGAAATATCCAAACCCACCCTGTGCTAGGCACACTCCAGGGTCTGTACTTACCATTATCTTTACTACCATACTGCTCAGATTGCCATGCAATGTCACCGGCAGTTAATTACATTACCCAGTAAGCTATGGTGCACCAACTTACCTGCATCCAGTGGCGTAACAATCGCCATAGCGACCCAGGCGGCCGCTATGGGGCCCGGGCACACGGGGGCCCGGCCATTCCAGTGGGCTCTGCAAGTGGCATAACTAGCAATCACGGGGCCCCATACAAAATTTTGCTATGGGGCCCTGTGATTTCTAGTTACGCCCCTGCCTGCATCCCTGGCGATTTGCCGCTCAGGCTACGCCACATTATTATTGGGAGGCAGGGAGAGTGTCAAATGTTCACTGAGAGAGTTCCAGGTGCAGTAATGGCATTGGATGGTGCATCGCAAAGAGTCTTCTTTACTTATTTCATTTTACATGTTTGCTTTAAAAAAAGGTAAATGAAGTAAACCTCAGCACACTTTCAATATTTCCTAGATAGCATTCACAATTCCCAGATGGTCATCAAGCTTTCTTCACCAAGCTATAACGGGCATTGCTGAAAGTAAAAGTCATCATAACAAAATAAAGATTGTTATAGCTTAGTATGTTGAGCCACTTACTTCCTCCCGGGCCCTTTAAAATATGTAATATAATCAAAATACGTACACACAAGCATTGTTCAAACTATAAAAGTTTATTTAAGGAGACCAGCTCTGTCAAAATCACAGGAGTAAAAATTCTTTTTTTACATAAAGAAGATCTCAATGACCCGTGGCTTTAATAAGAACTGCAGGTTTTGTACCCTGTTCAGATTGTCCGTTCCGCTACAAGAAAGGTTTGTTCTATAAAATACACGGAAGATAACTATCTGAACAATAGTAAAATAGCACAGAATGTAACAGCTTTGAAAAAAAAACAAAAAAAAAACTCCCAATAATTGGCACATTCGCCACAGTCATGACCATTAGTCCAGCAAAGTGCAGTACAGTGTGTTATTTTGTAGCTCACTTTGGGGGGGAATTTATAAAAACTGGAGCAGATTTGCACTGCAACCAATCAGCTTCTTTGTCTCATTTTCAAATCTTACCTGAGCAAACTGAAGAGAGAAGCTGACTGGTTGCCATGGGCAACTACTCCATATTGTCTGCTCCAGTTTTGATAAATTCCCCCCATTGTCTTGTTTGGTTAGTTAGCTCCTGCTCTGAGATCTTTGTATAATACAAGTTCCTTTTGTTAAGTTCAGATGCTTGTTACAGTCTGTGGTCCACAGCACGTTCACTGCAGAGAAGCATCTGAGAGTCACCGCTAGAGAATCGGCAAATAATTTAACATTAGCTCTACCGGCTCTTTGCCCCATCTACTCCTACAATCTGGATCACCAGTCCTCCAACCTCACTAGTGGTCCAGGAAATGTGCATTCAGTAGAAGTTACTGGGTTACAAGTCAGCTGCAGCTAGGGTTGTCACCTGTCCGGGATTTAAATGTTGTGTCCGGGTTTCATGGCAGCTGAAACCCGGACACAAGATGTCAGGCAGACAGGGGCAACGGAAATTAAGATAGGGGCTACTGGCCCCCCATTGAAAATAGTCTTGACTGTGATATTTACATATGAATGGGTGGCGCTATTTACATATAAATAAGCCGTGACTCATTCTCCCAAAAAATTTCTGTGCGTCACTAGAGTGTTCAGGTTTTGATGGAAGAAAAGGTGGCAGCCCTAGCTGCAGCTCCTGTGTCCCAGTAAACTGGTGACCAATTTATACTAAAACACAAAACAGAAAAAAAACATTTAATTAAAATCAGTGTAAACCAACCCTGGCCAACCTCCATCTTACATTAAGAAAGTGTTAAAATATAAATCAAAAGGCTTCAAGTTGCTTGCAGTGGGTTGCTCTATGGTTCTCCTAGACTCCGATTACAATAAGGCCTACCTATTAAAATGTACATAAATCCAAAATGTATTTTTGGTATGTTTAGAAGCATGCCTCACAGTTTTAATAAGCAAGTCCTGTGTCAAAGTTTCTTACCGGAAACCGAAGATCCTGCAGGTGATAGAACTTCTGTTTGGAAGAGGACAACACTAAGCCACTGCCTCACAATTTCCTTCAATGTGGTCAACCTGCAATGTGGTGCTGCAGTGGACTGTTGAGCTTCCTATCCGGTATGCAGGAGACACATGCAGATCAGATAGGCAGCCCAATAGCAAACTGCAGGAACAGGCGGCAGGCTTACAACTCTGCAACTAATTGCGAGGCGGCAGCTTAGAGTAGTCAGCCTTCAACAAGAAGTGCTATTACTTGCAGCATCACCTGATAAACTATGAAACAGATTTACAAGCAATGTTTTTCCTCCAGAAAACTGTATACAGCAAGACATGATGCCAAAACATTTGTCAAACAGAGTTGTTCCAAAAGGCCCACAGACACCTCAAATGTAAGCTAAGTCAGCAGGACTTGGCCACAATTCAAGCATTGCATGGTCAGTTTTAGGATTTTTCATACACTTTAAACATATTCAGTCAGCTGGAGCTTTCAGTTCTAGAAAAAAGCCCCAGTGAGGCACAGAGAAGGCCATCACCCTTTCAACTGGTTTTTTTTAAACACATCCATAGATAGAAAAAGAGAGGGAATGTGTTTTGTTCACAATAAAGTTTTGTTCTTATAAAAAAAAACAAAAAAACTGGCACTTGCATTTGAATGGACGGCAAGGAGTCCAATACCTAGTATTAGGTAAACTATACACAAACCATTATATTCCCACACCACTAAAAAGTATTAAAGTTCAGCATAAGATTAAGATTCACAGCAGATATTTGCCCCCCACATGTAATTCCGGTCTGTGTTGGATCTCAATCTCTGCATGCTCATCTGTAGCTGTAGTTCCTGGGGGGTTGTACTGAGCACCCAAAAAAAAAATGTTTTTACTGGAAGAGGCACTTCTTCTTAAATCCAATCATTGTACTAATGGGGTGGCTGTAGTTGGAGGTCCAGTCTCTCATGAACACATCTTGAAGTTGTTTCTGCATTGTGTTTGTGGCGTTTGTTGCGCAGGTCTGATTCACAACCAGTGCTGATCCCGCTGTACGGATGAAATAGTCTCCAGACCAATTGGAGGTTCCTGAGAAGTCACAGATCCAATGTCAGAAACATCAAAGATTAAATAAAAGTCAAGTACCAGACAACCAAAAACAATATAAAAACTATACATGATCATAATTATAGAAGAACACGTAATCCTTGACTGCTGAGAATCATAGTTGAACACTTATTTTACGTTAAAAATACTTTTGTTACCTTTGCCCTCCCACCTCCAATGAATACTAGGTAAAGTAATTTTGTTGGAAGGGCAAGGCCATAGCTTTATTGACGTATTATCATCATATAAAACATAACTCTTTTCCGTTTACATTAAATCGTGCCAGTCACGGATAAACCGTGAGCACCCAAACTTCATTTACTTTATAACTCAATGCAGAAAATCTTTCTTCACCATCAGTTCTAGACAAATGTCTAACAATCAATTAATTTCAGCAAAGTTAAAGTGGTAACCAATTAAAAGAGACCTATGGGGTAAGTGTTTTTCCCCATAATTCTCTTAAAGGGTCACGGGAGGATATATACTAGCATCCTCCCGTGATCCAAAGCTCAGTATATCACGAGCTACGGCTCGCGGTATACTGAGACCGCCGCAGCCAGGATGAATCCCGACAATGCTGTTGAGATCCACCCAGCTGCGTGAGTGACAGCTGGCTATGCCTATCTAGAGGCAGAGCAAGCTGTACCCGCCCCCTCCATTCTTCCACTCTGCACTGGTGGATCGGAGCGGGGAGGGGGAATCCTTGTGGGGAGCAGTGACTGCCAGTCACTGCTTTCTGCAGGGAGATGATCGAGAAGTGAGCGAGCGACGTTATGAGCTCGATCACTTCCCGATCTATTGTCACATGTGGTTCAGCTTGCTTGGGTTTTTTTGCTTTTCTCGGGTTCAAATCCGTGGGCATAGCGTTCTGTTTAGGCTTTTTTTTGTCATGTGTCTATGTGTTTTTTTCAACCTGACTAACTATGTAACTATGCTGGTCGACTCTCAAGAGGCCAACAAGCCCACTTCCTCCCACTTATAACACTTTGCTTGTCTCCGCCTTTGTAAGCTATCCCCCAATAATCCACATCCTCACTGCATGATTCCAGCAGTCAAGGCTCCCTCTTCTTACAGGTCACAGGATCTGCAATTATTTGTCATCCCCTTTTGTGTCGAAATATGGTGGGAACCCGCCTACTAACACCGCCCTGGTAAACCAAGCTTATGATGAAAAATGCATATGAAGAGGTTACTTTCAGGTGTCAGAACATTCAATGGATTAGGCAACTGAAGTAAATCTGAGTTTTTACTGTTCTGCTTGACCTCATGCCTCTCTGGTGCCATTGACATGAATGACACCGACACACGCCCTCCAGTACCAGAATGCTGCCCGGCTTGATCTATGTGATTCAGTGTGTTCCAGGCTTGAAACGCACTGGAACGCACTGGATTTAGGTGTGACTGGGCCCTTAACCTGAGTGCCGGCAAGTCCCAAGCTTTATGTGAAATATTTAATTTATTTTGTCAAAACAAGGAGGAGGAGCACACAAAACTTAAGGGTGAGGGAACAGAAACCATGATAGGAAGAGCTAGCTTTTGGAATCACATGAAAGATATAACAGAGCATTAGCTAAAGTAGTCAGATTCCACCTATAACTGAAGTATTATTCTAGGGTTTAGCCCCCTTACCACTCCCAAAGAACCCTTTACTTTGTGCCTCCACAGATGAACATGTTTACCCCCAACAGTGATAAATGTTGCTAGGCATACATACCTATATATGCCACTCTGTCAGTCACCATGTACTTGTTGTGATTCACTCTACCAAAGGGGATATGTTTCTGCTCCTCGGATACAGGAACCACAAAAATTTTCTACAAAACAAAAGGATGGAGAATTCAAAGAGTGCCATAAAAAGATTCTTTACAGCTAAATCAACACCTAGCAAAACATCAAAATGCTTTGCATCATCTCAAAATTATTCCAACTTCATAGCATAGCATTTCAACTTTGCATAGCATATACATTATATATATATATTTGCTTTATAAAACAGGATCTTCCTTTATGATAAGTAAAATCGGAGTTTTGTTGTTTTCGCCATCAAAGAAACCTAGAAACATTTGCAGAAAAAAATAAAGGGGAAAAGGAGCGGAGATTTCAGTGCCTCTCTTGTGAATTTTTAATATTAATTTCTCCACAAAGCCTATAGCTACAGAGGAGAATAAAGGCTTGTTTTAATGAGATATTACTACTACTTAGGAATATAAAATACTTTAGTGTGCCTAGTCTGGGCACAGGTTCTCTTTATCCTTTTACTGCCAAAGACATAAGGTATGCGTCAGAACAGAACTGCTCGCAGCTGGCCAGTTCACTGATTCACCTTAAATCCTCTGCATTCCCTTAAACTATGAGCTGAAGTGACCATGAACTTCGGCCTGACAAATTCTGCTGCGGGAGGTGCGTTACAGTGCCATTCATTTCCATGGCACCCCAAATGCTCCTCCCACCCACAATATGATCGCCCACACTGGAACGCACGGTACCACAATCCCGTGCAATCCAGTGCAGCGCGATTGCAAAAAATTGTGCATGCAGTTTTTTTCCCCAAGTAAAGTTTATGTTTGTAACACTGAATTTGTGTATTTATTTTAAATTAAGGATGGTATTTAATTTTTTTATCTGATCAAAAAAATAAAAATCGGCCAACTAATCGATTATGAAATAGAAAGCATACACTATGGTCTATCCTGTAACTTGGATCAGAAGACGGTCAGTGAAGCTAGCGGTATCCGATAATCAAGCACTGCCAATCACCTGCCTTGAGAAAGGAGGACACTCCTCTGAATCATTTACACTTGTACAGGGAAGTCTCCACAGTTGTCTTCCCGATTGCAGGGGTCAGGCGTTGCTTTGGACACTTTGCCTGACGAAGGGGTCCTGTGAGGCTCCAAACGTTGCATCCATATGTCATGCTAACGGAATGTGAAGAGGATAGTCCAAAGCAGAATGGTATGCGGACAACATATCTTCTAAGCGTTTCTAGGCGACGCCTTTCAGAGAAGTGTCCTCCTTTCTCAAGCCAGGCGCTTAGTTATCGGATACCGCTACTCCCCTAGACCGTCTTCTGATCCTAGTTACAGGATAGACCATAGTGCATGCTCGACCTCCCTGGAGCCCTGTACGTGAGGTCCTACTGGAGAAGACTGTAAACACCAACTCCACCAAAGTCTCCCAGTAAGGTGACTGGCACTTTTTCTCCAATAGTATGTACGTGCATTACTTTTGAATTAATTAAAATTATGATTATGATATCACACTTGTGCCCAGTTGTGTGTTCTTTTGCCATGTACTTATATTAGAAGGCTCCCCTAGATTCTGCTGTAATCGCAGCCATACATAAAAGAAGTGAAGAGTGGGGCCGGGCAGTGAAAGGGTTAAATTAAACCTGTGCCCAACAGCAGTCCTGTACAGAGGATAGAATCCTTTTACCTAGAATGTCTTAATTACCCCAAAACTGTTCTGCATAAAATCACATTACATACTTTCTCCTAGCAAAAAACAAAGCCTATCCAGGTGCTTGCTGCGTTATCAGCAGCACCCCCCCTTGATATCAAGTTATCACTCCCTCCTCCCGGCCCACAGCGACATACCACTTCTACGTTGTAATGAGGCTTGCTACTGTTCAGAGCTGCCATCGACTTCAAGAAGGGGAACATGGGTGGTTTCGAATTTGCCCAACAGCTTATCAACAGTCGCACAGTTACATATCTTTCATAAACCGCTTTCCTTAGATGATCATCAATTTCGGGCCAGTACCTGAAATAAGAAGAAAAATCATGCATCCACGTAGAGAAACAAAAGGCAAAAACTACAAACTGGAAATGTAAATCATTGCCTATGCACAAAGTGTGGAGGCCCAAACTTTGCAATGTGACACAGTAGTTCCAACTAGTATAATCATTCTGTGAACTGCAACCAAAAAAACCCCAAAAAACACTGCCACCAAAAACCATTCAGGTTGCCTTAGAAAAAAGTACAATTACATTTTCATTTTTCTTAGTTTTTACACATTCACAAAATCTTTATTTTAGAAATAAACATCCAATATAGGGAGCATTTACATCACGTAATCTGAAAAGCGTGTTGGGACTCCCTAAAGAAAAACAAAACAGCACCGCATGCTTGCCTGTTGGCAACCTGTGTATAACTGACCAAGCAACATGGTCCCGCTTCTAGTAGAGGCACATTCCCTCTCTGACTATGCAGTCTGGGTAATCTTATCCCTTCCCCTATATAGATATACTGTATTTTGCGCTCCATAGCACGCACCTTACCATAAAACCATGGCGGGGGGGGGGGGGGGGGTGGTCGTGGGGGTGGGGGTGGGGGGGGCGGTGGAGGGGAGAGAGGTTTTTTTTGGGGGGGGGTTTGGACAGGATCGCAGCTGCTCCTTTCATACAAGTGATCTAATCAGATCACTTGTATGAAAAAGAGCGGCGGCTCCACACTATACATTTAGATCTGCTTGTCAGGAGCAGGGCTGAATGTACAAAAAAACTACTCGCCCAGCGCCCGAAACTGCATGTCCCAGGCGTTGGGTGATAGGGATTCCACACCCCCTGGGTACACTGTGAGCCCCGCCGCCTCAGCTCTCACACATTCGCCTTTTGGGGGGAAAAAAGGGCGTCTTATGGAGCGAAAAATAGGGTATTTCATAACAAGGGCAGGCTTGCAAATCTGTGAAAAGCTGCTTCTCTGCTAGGAACTTGCCACTTGCAAATGGTAAATAGGAAAAAATCATATGGAATATATTTCGTATTTTAGAAATACCTTTTTAAAACATTTATAGTAACAATCATTTAAAAAAAAATATGTAAAAAACACACATTTCATAGAATTTCAAATCATTCTTGCAGCCAAATTAAAACACTTTGAGAGTCCTTTTGAACAGCACTGCATCCTCTTCCAGTAATTTTGTGCAATAGTCTATTGTCAGTACTACACTTCATGTAATACTTCCGGAAGTCTAAAATGGATGAGACTAAATTTCTCTCTGCAATACCTGCACCAAATAATTTGCACAGAGTGGTCCCATCATGTGTATACATGGAAATCCTCAAATGTGTTTGGGAACTGCTGGTGTGCAGAAATGCAAGCTCAGGATTATGGGTTCCCAGAAGGTCAGTAGACAGGTGATTTTACACAACAGGATTGCTGGTACCCGGGCAATACCGGGATATCAGATTTAGCTGGTTTATACCTTTTAGTAGTTTAAGCTGTGTAGCAATACAAATACCTCGATGTACAGTACTGTACTTTTATGTAGTGTAAACAGTGTAGCATTCCAAATACCGCTATGTACCTTTATGTGGCATAAACTGTGTAGCATAATAAAACATTATGATGACAATATTACCTCCTGGGACTAGAAAACTCCTCTGTGGGTGTATAATCCATAACAGAGATATAGACAAACTTCTTGGCATCATCTATAACACTTATAATAGCATCAATGTCTTCCGTCCTTCCCTTTGCAGACAGCGGTGGAGGGGAGCTCTGGCAGGTCAAGAAAAAGAGATGAGTGAGGTGATTGTACATTAAACTGACAGTCCTTATATGTGTACCTGTATTTTAGATAAACATAATATGCTTGAAATAACCTGGGTAGGAAAAGCAAGCATTGTCCTTGTTTTCACTCATTATGAAAGCTTTTATGGTATGTGGGAATGTTGACGTAGAAGTAAATGTCTAAGAAACACAGGATGCTGCAAGTGTTCATCTTTATGTGCAGATCTGTTTCCCAACTTCACTTGCTTTAGACTTGCTCCGGTCATGGACTTAAAATACCAAAGCCACATGACCAGCTTATCAGCCAGGTAACATTTTTGGAAGTAAATCTGCAATGACAACCCTGTCCCCGTATTTCCCTTGGCACAGGTTTCCTTAAAACCCTGCCTTACACTAAAGTATGTGCTGCCCATTTATATCTAAACCCACTATACACTAATATAACCATTCCTTTTTTATATGGCGGTCCTGATAAGGATTATGTCTTCAAAAAGTCTGGCATCCCCTACAGTTATATTCTGAGATGTAACCACAACATGTCTTTATACCCTGCTGAGGAAATGAGCAAACAGTATGAAAATTCTAACAATCAACTTCTCTTACTTGGTTCCTTTTGGTCTGTTAAATATAACAAAAGGCTTCCAATGGTATATTTGTTAAATACGTGCCCTGACAGAAATGTTTAAACCGGAATAAAGAACCAATGCAGCCACCACATCTAAGCATTGGTAAACTGCAGTGTATTACTGTTTCTAGAGAATAAAAAGTTTATTGAGTTTACAAAGAAAATAGAAGAGGTACAGAAACATACATAGAACTGTACTGTCCTTTCACAAGTACAATGACCCACCCCCCCCCACAAAAAATTATGCATGAGAGGACATTAGATAGATCAGAAAATTCAGGGCCGCCAAACCGTAGATCAGAACTAGGCAAGACTCTGCCTAGACAAGTCTGCTGGTTACAGCCTAATTTGGGGTTTGGCCACTAGTGGGGTTAGTCAGGAGGGTATGAGGAAGGGACATTGTATCCCTTCATGGGACAGGGGGCTAATGCAGAGGAGCAAAAGGGTGAATAAGAAAGAAAAAGAAGAGATAGGCAAGAAGAAAGAGGGAATGTGGAGAAGAGAGTAAGAGAAAAGTGGAACTCCAGGAATTAACAAAATTAACCCGTGCAGATGGGCTACCCCTGCACTGCAAGGGTTGACTGCTCGTTCTGGTGAAGAGGCTGGATTAAAGAAGATACAGTATACTCACCTTTGGTCCTGTCTGGCTGCTAGACTGGTCCATGCAGCCTCTTCTTCCCTGTCCTCCGGCGCTGTAAGGACCGCTGACATCATCACATCTAATGTAGGTCCATTCACCTGCATTAGATGGACTTAAGAGGAACCCTCAAAATTATTTTCAGATCTGAGGTAACCCCTAGTAAAGCCAATTCATTGGGGGCGGTGGGAAAAATGGCACTTACATTGGTTGTCAAATGCTACCTTTACAGACTGCTAAAAAAAAAAAGAACACGGGCATCATGCATGTGGCTATGCCAAGTGGTGTTGGCCCCAGAAATTTGCAGGCACCATTAAGTGGGAGGTCAATCAGCCACAACTGATTCTTCTAGCCACCTCTGGGGAACCCTAGCTGAAAATGGCTAAGGTACACCACCTTTATGTTACACTTAACTTGCATTGCCATAATAAAAAAAAAAATCTGTTTTTGTTTTTTAATTAACATTTCCGTGTGTATTCTGCTTCCTGGGGGCTACTCCTTTTTCAGATGACCCGCCCATGATCATATCTTCAACCACTTTATTGTGCAAAAAAAAAGGACCTTTTTAATGAACCACATGGATTAAAACTCAAGCAAATAGTAAGATCACTTACAGAGAGATAGACAAGAGACTGCGTATTGTTTACAGTCATTTCCATAGGCGTGTCCTTATTGTAAATAGTGGAAAAGTTGTCTGGCCATGGAGAAGGAATGGTGGCATTGGGATTACCCAGAGTCCAGTAGGCATCAAAGATTTTTTCCAAATCTTGAGCAAGACAGCTGCAGTTAAAAACAGTCGATCCCAATTCCTTCACCTGAAACAGATACAGATCATCAAATTCCATCCTCGACGCAACTCAGATAAGATGATCTCTACAGTTGGCTTTATACATTCTACCGATTGGATCTAAAACTTCCCCCATACATCTTAGCTCTTCTTCAGAGATGGGTTAAAGGAAACCTGTCATGAGATATATCCATGTACTGCCACTGCTGACTTCCCTCTGAAAATTCTGATTATCTGGCTGTCTCTGGCTTCGTTACTTGGAGTCACTCACATAGATCAAGCATGCAGCAAGCACAATCTGCATACTTGTTTCCCATCAGTGACACACAAAGTATTGAAGACAGAGGGTCAGCATGACAGTCAGGTATCAGTAACAGCCTGTGTATTTCTATCAGGGATGGTTTTCTTGAAACGCTTTTCTCTTACAAATGGGGACCATTCCACATTTACTGCTCCCAGCTTATTAAAGGAAACCTGTGCTGAGAGAATAGAAAGACTGTCATTTATTGAAGAAAATAGGTCACCAGCACTCCATAAGTTAAAATGAATGAGTCCTTTTAATGGACAATGATGTCACAGAAATCCAACATGAGCCGACGTTTCGGGGCCACACAGGGTCCCTTCTTCAAGGCAAGAGATGTGACCGTCGTCGTCACATCTCTTGCCTTGAAGAAGGGACCCTGTGTGGCCCCGAAACGTCGGCTCATGTTGGATTTCTGTGACATCATTGTCCATTAAAAGGACTCATTCATTTTAACTTATGGAGTGCTGGTGACCTATTTTCTTCAATCTTGTGTTTTGCACGGTGCCATCCGTGAAGTTACTTCGAGCACCATTTATTTGATTGTTGGCCAGGACTGCTGAAAGGTGTGCGGAGGGCACCTCCATCAATTGCAGACTGTCATTTATGACATCTTCTAAAAATACTAGTGTGGCCCTCATGGCGTTCCAGCATGAGATCAACACGTCTCAGTCACTGACCTAAAGAAGTATGCAGATTTGGAGTTCTGTCTTCAGAATGTTTATTCTGGGTAAGCAACTCAAATTACCGAAGCCAGGGACAATTCAGCAATTAGATTTTTTTTTTTTTAAGGTGGTCCGTAAGAGCAGCCCACATGTTCTTCTCGCTATAGATTCTCTTTCATTTCCAAGGGAAAGCCAAGAGCGCAAGCAGTTCTTTTTTAGTCGCCAGTCCTTAACAAAGTCCTGCCCAATTTCCGGCAGGGCTGGGATTTTACACAGCGTTCGGCTCTCCCATGGTAGTTAATGGATGGTAAAAACACAACTCACCCTCATTACTTAAAATGTATTAAAGTAATTATTTGCCAAAACTCTTTTCTATTATGGCCATGGACCCAAAATGACCAGCTGCAACTATTTTATACTGAAAACCCGATAACATTATTCTAATTATGGTGTGGGCAGAATACCAATTAGTTTTCACTAAAATGTTCACCACAGCTATATACAGAGGACAACATAGAAGGTCCACACAAGTTATCAGTATCCACCCTTGTTTGTGAGGGACGCAGCCAAGTAACAGAATGCACTGGTGTGCAGTAAACTACAATAATCAAGTTAAAGCAAATATCGTAGCTCTATTGCTCTGAGCTACTAAAAGCAGCTTTCGGATTGGCTACTGTGAATTACATGAGTGAGTGAAGTGCTCATTGCACTCTGTAAATAATAGAAGCTTTTAATGAGTCTCTGTCACTCATACATACACTGTCACATAGAAAAGAAAAGGAAAATCTGACTACACTTTAGAGTGCCATATAAAAGACATCAGACTTCATTTACCAATCATGCGCTAGAAATAAAATAAATACCGTATATTTTTTACATTTCCCTTGCATATGACTGAGTATTCAAAGTGAACACAGCTTCACCCCCTTCACTAAACATTCACTTTACTAGGTGAACGGCCTCAACTACTTTATAACATCAATCATACTGCTTCTTACTTGTGTTAATGCTCTCCAGTCCATGTTAGCACTGCCAATATACAAGTGCTTGCCATCCACCACCCAGAATTTTGTGTGCAGCACACCATTAGTCAGATGGGGCAGGTCAACAATCCGAACCTCAGCCCCTAGAATAAGAGGACACATAAAAAAGATACAATTAAAAAGGAAGCAGAGAGTAAACTAACACATATGTAAATCATCACTTTTGGTATACAGCCTCATGCTGCAAAGGAACATTATTATTATTATTATTATACAGGATTTATATAACTTCAGGTCCATTTCAGGGTGACCTCAGTGGTTTTTCTGACCCTGGCCTTATATTATTATTATTATACAGGATTTATATAGCGCCAACAGTTTGCCCAGCGCTTTACAATATAAGGAAGACATTACAATTACAATACCATTCAAGACAAGAAGGTAGGGAGGGCCCTGCCCCTGAGGGCCTACAGTCTAAAAGGGACATTAACCTCCTAATATAAGTGATAATGGACCCTGTAAAAAACTGGTTACAAAAATAAATAAATTAAACCTCAGCTCCCAAAATTCAGCAAAAGTTTCCTATTCTCTACGTAGCGGTGAGTTGTGCACTGAAAAAACTTTTCAGGGAGTCAGGTGTTGGGAATAGAAGAGTCAGAATGTCTGTAAGGTTTTCATTGCCATTGGTGTCCTTGTAGGGAGAAATTTACCTTAAAGAAGAACTCCAGGATTTGTTCAAATTAACCCTTGCAGTGGGGCTATCCTCGCACTACAAGTGTTAAGTGCTCTTTTTGGTCTATAGAAAAAGATAAAGAAGTGAGAAATATACTTACCTGATCCTCGGTCCGACCTGGCTGCTAGACTGGTCCTCGCAGTGTCTTTTCTTCCGGGCTCTGGTGGACCGAGGAAGTGTGACATCATCATGTCTAATAGAGCCCATTACACTTGAGGACACAGAGGGACATACCACAGCCGGAGCGGAGGGGAAAGAGAGGTAAGCAGTCTTTATTTCTGCTCTTAGACCAAAACGAGCACTGAACCCTTGCAATGCAGGGCTAGCCCCACTGCAAGGATACATTTTAATAAATCCTGGAGTTATTCTTAAATGGAGACAGTTGGTACCAATACACAAAGAAATACCACAACTGAAAAGGAACACAAAAACAAAACAAAAAAAACAAAAAAAATCACACACACATACAAAACAGAAGATGAGGGGAAATCTATCAAAGCCATGTGCACTGGCAACAAGCAAAAAGGCAGATTCCCCCGCTTGCCTCATGGAGATTTCCTCTTACTTCTTGTTGTCTCGCTGGCACAGGAAGTAAGGGGGAAGCTCCCCAATGGAGATACAGACAGCAATAAAAATGACACAGATGCTAGCTCTTCCCCATTCTTGCTGGTGTTCCACTATAACTGGTCCCTCATTGCAGGAAAAGTAGCCCATGCCTTTACATCAGGCCAGAGTTCTTCCTTAACACCTGCAATATGTAATGTAACCCGGGAGTAAGAAAGTCATATAAGAAAAGATGGGGTCTTACCGCTGTCCCTTAGAGCGTTAATGTCTGCATTTTCCTTGGAGCCAACTGGATTCACTGCTACCCTCAAATGGATACCTCGCTGCTTCAGGTTCAAGAGCTCTTGCAGGATTCTTTCCCCCTGTTAAACAGACGTGCATTGTTTTTGGCAGTGATAAGTAAACAACTGAATTTCCATGTATAGGGCCCCGAGGACAGTGGCCATTCTAGCAATCCTGTACCAGGCCCACAGTCCCTAAATGACAGATGCAGAATGCAGAGCTCCAGTAAACTTAGATGCTAGATGACAGTCAGACCTGCAGCCACAATCTGTCCATTCAAACCATTGTTCCATGAACGTGCATGTTCATTCATAGCAGGGGAGACAAGCGGCGCACCTCCAATTCCAGAACTCTTTAAGAGGACCATTCCAATGTAGACCATTGTCTGTTAAGCTGGTTACACATGGTCATGGTCAAATATGACAGATTACTCCATCCACACAAACGGCTTGGGTGAATGAACCTCCTGCAGTGTACATTGGATTCTGACAGCGGCACCGGCTGATTGGAGGATTTTCCAGCATGTCTCTTTGGCAAAAGTCGATCAAATGATCTACTTCGGTCAAAGGGATAGGGCCACCCACCGAACAAATTTTGGCCGAATTGGCTGAAATTTGCTCCACGGGTACTCAGCTTTACTCTATGAATGTGTATGATAGTGTGTGTGTGTACATTATCCGTAGAGCTACAAAGCATTTTGCTTTGCTGATCCTCTACTCTCATTGCAAGATAGGGTCTCTCTTTGACAGTCAAAAAAAAGCAGAAGAGGCTGTGCAGTCTCTACTTACATGAAACACCCACAATGTCCTGCTAGTCAGCCATTCAATACAAGAAAGATTTTTAGCGTAATCATGATGATGAAACACGTGGAGTGGGTGGAGATACGCTGACATCCCCATGCAATTCTGGAACTTCCTGTGGGACCCTTGCAGGGTTGAATTAGTGATGTGCGTGGTATCAGAGTGCTGTTTAGGCACCTTAGTCTGGGTTTATTTTATACTTGCTTGTTTGATTAATACAGCTTTATGCCAGGAGAGATTTGTATTTCTTCTACACTAACGCCCTACTGAGAGCTATATATTGAAGAGAATGTGAGGAGGCGAACTAGAAAAAATGGTACATGCATGAATCTATAACCGGCCTTTATAGCAGGGCGCACATTTGGAAGGCTTACAACAATACAAAACACAAAAATTCCCCAGCCTCAACCTGCCAGCCAGCCTGCAACCAAACAAGTAGCCCTATCAACAGTATGCGTTAAAATCAGATTTTTTAGTTACATAGTATTTGAGGTTGAATAAAGACATTAGTCCATCAAGTCCAACCTATTAGGATCTCATTCTAGGAGTACCCGTACCCCTGTATATTACGGTCCCTTAAGAAATCGTCCAAAAGTTTCTTAAACAATTCCACATTATTTGCTGAAATCACCGCCTGTGGCAGTGAGTTCCAGACCCTAACTGATCTTACTGTGAAGAACCCCCTTCGCCCCTTGTATTAATGAAGTTGATGTATTAATGAAGTTGATAAATTACATGCTCACACTTGGAGACTCGGATACATAGAGTTAGGACCACACTTTGCAGAGGTGCCTTGGCGCGGCGGTGTGGCTTCTACATATTTTTGGTCAAATGTTTGTGCAACTAAAACCTCTGATTTTAACGCATACTGTTGACAGGGCTACTTGTTTGGCTGCAGGCTGGCTGGCAGGTTGAGGCTGGGGAATTTTTGTGTTTTGTAATGTGGGGAGGCGGCCACTGAAGGAATGTGTTCCAAGACTGACCCATTTACATTTGGAATCTATTTTAAGCCATTAAATTTTAGTAAATACACACTATTTTCACCATTATAATGTGTGGTCCACCTGATTTGGGGAGTTTACCTAATCTGGAAAGAGGGCTCATCATGTGAATACAGTAGTGGAGCACTGATTCTGAAGCATTCTTTCAAGACTTTTTGAGCACATTGGGACGGGGAATTTATAAAAACTGGAGCAGGCAGAATCTGGAGCAGCTGCCCACAGCAACCAATCAGCTTTTCTATTTCATTACCAAACCTTAACTGAACAACCTGAGGTGAGAAGCTGATTGGTTGCCATGGGCAACTGCTCCAGATTCTGCCTGCTCCAGTTTTTATAAGTTCACCCCATTGTGTTTGCATGTTTTAGGATTTAAACTGGGTCATTTGGTAATGCTGACCTGTACCCCTACCATAACATCAAGGTCGGTCCACTTTAACAGCAGATCTTTTCACCTGATCAGCTGAGGGATGATGTGTCCTGGTGTCATTATTGGTCAGCGTCCAGTAAAAAGATGCAATGTCCACACTACTCTTGGCCTCGCTTAGAAGGTTCAACCATGTCTCAAATACTGAGGGGTTGGAGGTGGAATTTTCAGGATACACCAGCCCTTCTGGTATGCTCTCGACAAGAACCATACTAAGGAAGTATAAAGAGAATAAAACACGCATTATCTACATGAAGTCTGCAGGAAATGGTCTTCCCTTCTCCATCCAGCAGAGTGTTAGCTGATTTGTACAAACATGTCCATGTTGTGAACTGCATAGCATTCCATTGCTTCATACAACCTCATTTACATATTAAAAATGGTAATTCCAGCACTTTGCATTGTTAGGAAGACAAAGTAGTAAAACTTGTAACTCCAGTTTCATGTGTTTTTCAATCTTGTCAAAAACAGCAGGCCTACAGAGCTCCACTGCACATAGCAGAGAAAAGCAAGGGTCACCAGCACACCAAAATACTCAACAAGAGCCTTTTATTTGTCACAAGGAAAATGAGATGTGTCCACACGCATGCTACTTCATCACAGCAATGGTGATCTTCATGCTGCATGATAAAGGAGCACACCTAAGGCTCTGACACACTGCATTTTGCTTATTAACAACTAAAGGCTTTTATTGAGCCTTTTGATGTGCTGGTGATTTGATTCTATCTAGCTTGATCTACAATTTTGCCATCCATTTCTATGTTATTACAGCACCCGCCACCTTCAAGTTTTTACGCTGCACCACGTCTCTTGTATATGGTCCAGTACACAAAACCGCGCAGCACTGTACTGTAATTTCACAACATATCTTTTACCACACCTAGTTCCTGGTAAAAAAAAGTAGTCCATCACTTACTTGCAGACGTCATTACACTTCTGCTCCTGGTTAGTCGTGGTCTCGGTCTCCATTGTGGAGCTTGTACAGAGCAGTGGAAGGAGAAGAAGCTGAGCAGCCATCAAACAGAACAGAATTGTGACCATGAAGGTGATGACAATTGCACAGCGGTAATACTGCAAGAGAAGGAAAAATGACTGATGTTATCATCATGATCATCAGCATCAATATCATTATCATTCTATTTAACATAAGGTGGACCAGGGCATAAAAATCCCAGAAGAAAGGAAACTAAAATTTCTACAGCTAACTGCAGGAAGTGCTCTGCTATTTTTCTGGAGGAATTTCAGACAAAAAGTACATTTGTACATTGAAATTGTGCCTAAGGGCAATGCTTAGGCACAATTTACAATTCTATTTTTATTTCCCTATAACAGAGCAAAACTTCACTTTGAGTTCAGCTCCACTATAATTAGGTAGGACTAACTAGCTTCATAAAATCTACTACTGTTCCCAGGGCTGGATTCCCCACAAGGCCAACCAAGGCCCGGCCTCGGGGCAGCAGGGAGTAGAGGGGCAGCAGGGGTGTAGAATTCTTATCTCCCGATGCCTGGGACATGCAGTTCCAGGCGCCAGGTGGGTAGTTGTTTTCTACATTTAGCCCTGCCTTGGGAAAGCAGGGCTAAATGTACAGCAGGGAAGCCACCGCTTGTTTTGTACAAGTGATCTCGGCGATGTCGCCAAGATATCTTCTATGCATCTTCTATGCGTTGGTGGTTAGGGTGGCACATTGAGGAACCTGGTCTTAGGGCAGCAGAGAGAGTAAATCCGGCCCTGACTGTTCCTCCATCCTAAATAGACAAGAAAGAAAATGAATACTACATTATATCCCGCCTTCTGTGCCACTGAACAACACTCCTGTAGTGACATGCAGGTCTGTGGAAGGAACCTGGAGATGGAAACGCCCAAAATTGTTGGTTTTGCTGAAGGCTTCAGCAAATGATTTGTTGTTTGGCTATGTGGGAAGCATATAATGTGAATATTTACTCCGTTTTTTTTAACAAGGAACTCTTTTTCTTTTCAAATTAATTTTCGACAGAATCACCTTTAATCTCCTGTATTCCCATGCACAGCTGAACGGAGATTGGTTAAGAAGGGGACACAGGCCCTACTTCTGTATTTAAGTCAACTTGGTGCACTGGTGATGGTGCACTATTACTACTACTACTACAAAAAAAGAGGCTCAATGTGAATTAGTTCAAACTTTGTTTTCCCAATAGACAAGCTGCAGACTAGATACAGACAATATTTGGCAAATGATAAGGTAACTGTAGATGGGTTTTGTATTTTTGTCTGGTTGTATAGACTTACCCTGCGGGCATTATCCTGCAGTTGGGCCATTTGTAAAGCCACAGAGTTTTGGTCCTCCGGAGAGGAGATCTACAAAAATCAATACATAATCAGAATGATTTAATTCAGAGACCGTCTGATAAAAGATTCTTCTGTCACAGTCAGTTTAGAATTCCAGTATTCATTTAGTTCATACAAGCTTATGCAAAGCAGAGCAAACCGTTGGAAGAAGCAGAAACTTGTGCTTTATGCCCAGTCACTTTAGTGCATCCATGCTCTCATCAGCCAGGTTCTTGTGAGTGCAACGATTACTTTTAAGCCACCTAATAAAGTCTTTAAATGCTACACCGGGTTGGTTGCCTTTCTCTCTTGATCAGGTTTGGAAAAAACATTCACCCATATTACCAGTTCTTTCAGTTTTTAGACAACATCACTCCTGGGTTTCAGCCTAGAAGCCAAAATTCTGCTTGCAAATCACTCTTGGCCTCCCTCTTCCTTGGGTTCCCCACATCTTGCCTACTTACCTAGTATACACAATATACAGCTTTTACTACGCAGAGGGACCAAAACAGCATGATAACCAGCCAACTTAGACTTTGTACCTATCCACTTCAAAATACGTCATAGACATTAGACGGTGGTCAGATGTGCAGGCAGAATCCAACCAACCTGAGCTATGCCCCCCCAATTCTGTTTATTCAATGCAGGGGCGCAGGTTTACTTAAAGTAAAGTTTTTAGAACAGGCTGTATCGTTTTTTAAGACTTGGCTTACCCCATAGTTCTTACCCCATAGTTCTCTTTTAACTGTTCATTTTTGACTAGGGGATGGAATAAAGAAGAAATACTCACCTGATCCTCGATCCCACCTGGCTGCTAGACCATTCCTTGCAGCCTCCTCTCCCCAGGCTCCAGCAATCTAAGGTCCCATGAGTCATCACACCCAATACAGTGTATTAGACGTGAGGATGCTGAGGGGCATAACATAGCTGGAGTGGAGGG